CAGGTTGCCTACTACACTCACCCAAACCACATGGGCACCTCCTGAAATCGGGAAGCGGGATAGTTGTCAAGATCAAGCAATTGCGCCTCTTTGATGCCTGACGGAGTTTGACCACAAATTTAGCTTGGCCTTGGCTATGAAGTGAAGGAACCATAAGTCAACCCAATAGGAAAGCTGCTCATAAGCCTTCGGCGAGCCCGCCGCTTCCGGAGACATCCAGTGCTCGCAGACAAGTGTATGTTTTGCCGGGCACCCGAACTACTGCTCACTTGCTGAATTTGATTTGCAGTGACTCAGTGATCAGGCAATAAATAGAGTAAAGAAACTCTTTTCAGCGAGTCCGTTTAATTTATAATGAATAAGAAAATGACGAACCCACTAGGATTGTTATGCCTCACCAGTGAAAACATGATCAATGGAAACCAGGTAAGGTTCTGCTCCACAAAAACCCAAAAGAGCCTCCTTTGATTCATCAAATGACGCCCCGAACATGTTGGCCCCATTGAAAGGAAGGACACATCCGATGCCTCAAGTAGCACGCACGGAAATAAACTGAGACATCCCGCCAATGTCAGTGGTGCGCCATAGGCTCTCCTGAGCGCGTGGATCTGGCAGTCATCACCCTGGCAATGCCTGGCAATGCGCATGAAGATATCTGGAAATTCAATCCGCAATCCGTGGGACAAGGGAAACCACCATCCAGCAGGAAAAAGAAAAGATCAGAACTCAGCCTCCAAGAAAGGAACCTTCAGCCCATGGGTCGCAAACCCCAAGCTTCTGTACAGTACCCGCAACCCGAGCTGACCGTTGTTCTAACGCAAGGTTTTGGCAGAATAGGAATCGGCCTTGGAACCAATCAGGTGGGGTAATGTGGGGTCCTTTGTTGGACCAGTTTTCCTTAAAAAGGCACCGGGTCCCTGTCAGTTTCCACGCGGATCGGTGGGAGGGTACCGACGCAACGCGACGCCGGCGAGCGGTTTCTCCTCGCCGATCCAGCTCTGCGAGTCCACGGCCAAGCCCAGGTCGCACAGCCAAAAGGAGGCCGTGTCCTCCTACGTCCAAAAAGGCGGGCGCCGAAAGAAGCACACATATTTTATCTGTTTTCTGATGTTTGGTACAAAAGGTTCACACATTTTCGGATGACTAGAGCATGAGGTTTTGGAGTACTCCACAACCCTTGCGGCCCTCATGTTATTGTCCTAGTTTCTTTTCCGCACAAATGAACAGTTCCTGGGCCCTGGGAAGGATTTCGATTTCCAACCATGGCAAGGCTCAACTTCCAGCAAATGTCTGTGGCCCGACCTGGCGCATTCAGTCAAAGTCTGCGCAGCTTGGTGCACAGCTTCACATTTCTTGTCTCACTCCCAGTTGCCCAGTGGCCATGGAAGAACAAGGGCCAAAAGTTCCAACGACCTGAATAAGGTCTGAGCTTTTGAGACATTGGAAAGAAACAGATCGCGCTAGGCAAATTGTCTGGGAACCAGTCGCGGACAAATATGAGGAACTAGCCAATAACATCCTATGATCTTGCATGCCATGTGTATGGTTTACCCCGCCCACTATAGAAGCATGAACCCAGAGGCTCCTAAGAGGACAATGGCCGTCCAGGGACATCCGTCCAGGTTCCACGTCAGATGGAAACGCGTTCATGCCAAAGAAGTGATCATGCGCATGCACGTGGCCATGATGACGCTTCAAACACGTTTGTTGACACGCTCTTCGAGGTCTATGTCACCTGTTGGTTGGGAGACTCAAAAAAAAGGAAAACCAAACCCGGAACCCACTGGGCGCAACCCTTTGCAAGGCACGTGAAACACCCTCTGGCCTCACCCTCGGACTCGAGCGAGCCGTCCTGCCACAGGGAAACACCGAGCATGGCCAAACAAACTACATCAGGCTGTTCCAACATCAACACTCTTAGTTGCAAGATGGTGGTTGTTTTTGCATGAAAACGTAATCAGCAGTAGACTAAAAAGTAATTGTGTGGCCGCTAAAAGTTTCGGGTGCGCTGTGGTAGATCAGAAGTTTCCTAATTCAGGGTCCTATGACTGTTTCGTGGTTCGCTTCAATGTCCAGCCTTTTTAAGCTCCTCACAGCTCAAAGGCTTCAATGCCTCAGAACTGGAAACACCAATTTTGCATCAGGTCCCCAAACCATTACATTTGAGATAACTGCTTGATTAAGCACAAAACAATTTAAGGACACAGTGAAACGCAATGGGGGTTGCCCGCAAGAGGCCCCGATTGTGTTTGACCTGACTGCTTCGTGGTTTGCTTTCATGTCCAGCTTTGTTTGTGTGGGTTGGGGAAATTCCCAGATCTAAATATGGATTTGACATACTAAGTTAAGTACTGGGAATCTGTGAGTGGTCTTGGCAACACAACACTAAATTGAGTACTGAAAATCTGAGAGTAAGTCTTGGCAATTCTAATTTAGGCTTGGCAAAGCAAGTCCATACTGGGAATCTGAGAGTAAGTCAGAGGGGGGGGTTGGAAGAGGGGGAGCTGAGTGCAGAGCTCGAACAACTCAGTGCATGTCAATCTGGCATCTAGACTCAAGCACGTATCATCAGATCAATCCAATCTCTGAGATAAATACCTGCTCACGTCGGTATGTGTCAAGCTGGGATCACCACCAAAATGGTGTTTTTTTGTTGTCCCTTGAACAAACCTGAAAAGGTTGCCCTCGTACAAAATACATAGCCATGTGAACATAGTTTCCCGTTTGGAAGAAAGTCGTTGCCGAGCTTCTACCGAATTTTGGCAGAGAAGCCCTCAACCAGCCGTGTGTTTGCTTCAGCTAGACAGGCGTCAACAGCAAAGCAACTGGAGTCTTGCTCCTCCCACTGATGTTGTCGGCTTCCAGAAAAGGGCGGCCAGGGGCCCAATGGGATCCGCATCCAATGCATCCCAACTATCCATTGCCTTGTTGCCTTGTTTTGTTGGTTTGTTGCCTTGTTGCCTTGTGAGCCTGCCAGGTGTGAGGCTCCCCTTTCTTCTTTTCTTCCTTCCTTCCCTTCCTAATGGATTTCATGTAGTCGGGACACCATTCGAACCTTTGCAGGGTTTATCAACTGGACACGACCTGCATCCACCTGGCCACCGCAAGAGGCAACCCGCCGTGGCAGGTTCGGCACCCCGGTCGAGCCTCAGACTCCTCGTTGCAAATCAGCACCTTACGTCGGGGTTGTTCCACATGAGGGGATCCCGAATTCGAATCCGTATCCGTGGGACAACCTGGCCCAGGTTGACTCCCCAAGCGTCTAATTGTGCCCACAGACTCCATGGTACTCTCCTTGCAAGTTACATGCAAGCCCACAACTGTCTATGTTTGGAGGAAGCTCCTCTTGGGATTGGATCTCCTCGCTTCGGCCATGGAGTACCCGGGTAGGGCTGTCGGAGAGGAAGAACTGGGAGATGGGCACCAATCCCTAGTCCGATCCGCTTGCTTCTGAACAGGGCTGTGGGAAATGACCACTTCCGTGATACAACAAAAAGGGCTTCCCAAAGACTAATCCCCCATCTGAAGAGGGGATTCTCTTGTATCACAGAAGTGGGGATAAACCCCACAACCCGGCTCTGAAACACGCAAACCAAAAACTAAGATACTGGTCGCTTCAAAGCCAAAAGGGGGCTGTCAAAATAAAATAAGTATATATGGCCCTTGTTGAAGCCTAATGCCACCTCCGACAGGGACCACAACGGGTCCCGAATGAATTTGACACCTCTGGAGCGCAACAGAATCACAACCGCCGCGTGAACTGCCGCGGTTTTCATACGTCCGTTTCACGTCTCCCGAAAAGGATGCTTTGCTTCATTTAACAAGCGCATTTGTAGCATATAGGTAGGACTGTTTGGGATAGTGCTGAAAGGAGCAAATTAATGACACCAACCATAGGGGGTCCCGATTCGCATGCGATTCACATGCCCTTGGCAAATGCTTCACTTTGACAGCACTCATTACTATCTTAAACCTAAATCAAAGATCCAAGGGACCCTCACAGGTGGGATGCCTGGGTATGCAGGGTTCCGTAGGTCTCCACTGTTTACACTGACGCCAAGTGAATCCAAGTGATGTTCAAAACCAGGGGGAGCATGGGTCTGTCTTTCTTTTGAGGGTATCCTTCGTGGGTTCGTTTTAAAAGCAAACCAAAGCGAAACCAAAGGGAAACCAAAGGGAAACCAAAGGGAGCCCGTGTTTGTAGGTTCCCCCAGTTGGAGACAGTCCCGTGCACGTTAAACTTCCTCTGCGGGCCGGGTCCCCGGGCGTTGTGGGAATTCACATCCCGGTGCCAAGCCAGAGGCGCCTAGGTCCATAAAGGCTCAGAGTCTTTTTGGAGGCTGCTTTAAGGCGTTTGGAGACCGCCGTCTGATCTCTGAGGGCCACCCACTGGTGGAACCCCAAAAAGACCTATAATCGACCGTGTGAATGGCCCTTAGGCCGGTCGGGCTTGACACGCCGTGTTGCGGAAAAAAAAGTGGGGGGAAGCGACGTAGAAACCATGGGCTCCCCCAAGTTTGAGACAAAGCCGAAAAGATGGCTTGTCAACTCCAGCCACAGCTTTTGGACACGTGCAACATGAAAACTAACACAAACAACAGGGTTCGTGCGCGAACATGGGAACCTCTCCCCAAAAAGAAACACAGTCACTCGCCTCAAACCTCAAAAGCACAAATACTCTCTACAAGAAGACACGCTCGTATGTAAAGGGGCGTTCCATGCCAATAAAGGGACGCTTATCTGAACTGGGTCTTGTTGCAGGCGATGTTTGAAACCCGCGCAAGGGGGAAATGTGAACTCCGAGTACCTCCCATGCCCAACGCCAAACCCCTTGCACTGCGCAGCTCTTTTTGCTTGAAACTGAAACAACGGGGAACTGCGCACTTCGAATCCGCATCCAGAAACCACGAGATCGAAAAGACACTTGAATCATCTGACAACCACACTAAGGGCAAGTCTTTTCATTCAAACCGTCTACCCTAACGGGCATCATATTTCAGTCTTCCTTGCGGCTCGGGATTGCGGAAGCGAGTCATTCTCTGGATGGGCCCGTCCGGCATTCTGCACAGTCACGCGACGCTCATAGGTGTGAAGGAAGCGGTCCTCGGCAATCGGGTGATGCAGCCGCAAGGTTAAAGCGCCCTCAACGGTTGGTGGGGCTACCCTCAAGAGAGACACATCCTAGTGAGCACATCAGCGGATGGGCAAGCCAAATGAATGTGCTAAGCTGCTATGGATTGTCTCGCAATGGAGGGTTCAAGGAGGCCACAATCCTTGGTCACACATCTAAGTGGATGCACAAAAACTGAAGCGGCGTAACGCGGGTGCAAACGAGGCCTTGGCAAGCAACACAACGAACGATGATGAAACCAGTGCCCTCCACCCCGCCCGTTTCTTAGATTCCTAAAGTTGTGCAGGACAGCTCCGAAGAACCCTCCGGAAAACAGGAGCCTCATCATATCCAAGAGGCCTGCATGCCAGGCCGTGAGTGAGATGTGCGCTGTGTGTTTTTGCTCTTTTAAGATCAGTAGCGAACACCTGGATTGTTCATGAAGTCGTCTGCCAAAAAATCATGAAGCAGGAAAATGGGGTGGCTCATGCCAAAGCAAAATGACCTCCAGCACGGTGATGCTCGGCCTCCCACCCAGCACGTCAAACCTTCAATTGCTGGCGTCTGCGACAAGCCGAGCAAAATAAATCCTGCCATCCTACCTTCAAGCAACTTAAATAACCCAGGGGTTGTCAAAAACATGGTTTCCTGGTTTCCTGAGAGACCCGTTTCGGAGCTATGTCTGAATTCAACATTTAGGATTTAAGAAGTGGTCGTCTCCAACCATCGGCCAGCTGACAACTGGCCACTGGCCTCTAGACGTGCGAGTGCCGAAGGGAAAATCGCTGCGTCGTGCGCTGGGCTCGGCATCTACTATCCCCTTCTTTTCACCCTCATTTTGTTTGGGGCGTCCGCAAAAAGCTCCCTGGCTAATTAGTGTATCAAAACTGCGGACCCTCCAATGAATGGTTTCATGCTGGTTCCCCTTAAATCTCAAAGACCCAGTTTTTGCACATCGAATTTGCAAACAAGGCCCCCTGCCAGGGACGACTTGCCTGCCGCCCTTGCGCCGAGACTCATCCGTGCAGCCCGGAGGGCTCCGAGGTTTAAGGCCGCGCCGGCTCCCGTTGCGACCGAGCCGACGACTCTTTCGCGAGTGTCCATCGAGCTCAAGCTGAGTTTGGTCACACGAGCAACGAGTAGACATGATGTTCACTACGTATGAAGACAAGAAAGTTGAGGAAAAGAAACCTGAGAATGTTGAGACGGTTGAGAGAGAAAATATGTCATTTTATGGGGGATGCTGGGAAGTTTGCTGGGGCTTGTAGACATTGCCACCGATCCGAAGGTTCCCATAGGCAACGAGCAGTGTTACTCCAGAAAGACACAGCCGAGATTCTTGGTTGACTTTGAAGGCAAGCCCGAAGGCACGCACGCACATACACACAGACCCACACACCAACACGCGCGCAAGCAAGCAAGCAAGTTCATGTCAACCACGTCTTTTTACGGACGTGAACCACAATAAATTTCCTTGCACGAATAAATGGAACCACGTCTTGTCTTGGTCGACAAGCGGCGCCACTGGGGAACGAGGGAATGGGGTGAAGGAATTTCAGAGTGAGTGCTCAGGGTGGGGCCATCTGCATCTCTCTCTCTGTCTCTCTCTTGCAAAGGTCTGGCAAATGAGGAGCAGTTGTTGGCTGAACTCTTGTCTGTTTCTGGGACACCAGTAGACGACAGAGGGCTTACTGGCCGTTTTCAAAGGCAAAATGTAAAGGTGTACCGACCCAGGTGAAAGGCAAAGTGTAAAGGTGCGTGGGCCCGGACGATGGACAATCCAGAAGTAGGGCAACACGATCTTGCGAAGCCAAGCCAGCTTAGAGTCTGACTCATTTTTCTCTTTCGCAAGCCCCCCAATGAATGGGTGACTGAACAATTGCTGTTGGGTTGCAATGTGGACGCCAGTCTCATCACTCCCCCACCGACAAAAGTCTAGTTGCTTGAAGCAATTTTGCAATCGAACCCAAATCTGCAAAGTTGGTTCTTTTGAATTTGGGCTGTGAAATGTGGCCAATAGCTCTTGCGAATTCGCAATGGTGCAATGTGGGCCGTCCGTGCGGGGCACTTTGCTTGGCGCTGACAAAGAGTTCATGCAGGTTTGGGGCCCAGTTCAAGCCAAGTGGGGAACGTCAACCCAACCTCACAATCATGAAAAACTGCATCAAAACAATGCACAAGCCTGAGCCACAATCTGGCAGGCGGATTGCATCATGAATTCCTGCAGATTTCTCCTGGAACCTCAAGATGTGGGGGGGGGGGGGAAGTAGTCAAGCTGGTCACCAAGCCCTTCCCACGTCGTGTGCCCCAACATGGGCGTTGCCGAACAACATCGCAGGCAAACCTACAAAAGCCATATCCTCTCGCTGAGTGGGCTGGCCGGAAGAAGTCCAGACTTGTTTGGCGCCAAAATGATCTTCCCACAAAGTTCGAAAGGCCGCCAACTGCGAAAGTTGCTCCATCCAATAGAAGTCACTCTTCCCCGATCCCATGCTCAGAGCCAGGGCAAGCGACTGGGTCCTACTTTGAGACGCAACCTATGCTTGGTCCGGAATCCACGGCAACCTGGAATTCAATTCGGGTAAAAATCGGAACGAGCCAGGGGGGATGATGCGGACATCCACAAAAACATCCACACATGTGGAAGGTGGATGAAAGTCCAAAGATCCAGGGACCAAAGGCAACCCTCCCCACGGGGCACGGGGCCGCCCGCCCCCGCTGGCCTGGCTATCCTCAGCCGCCGCCCTTTGCTCCAGCCTTCTGAGCTTGGCTGAGCACTGCGTCCCGGGAGAGCCTGATTCACCAAGAACTCTGCACGAGACGCACCAAAACGACTGTTGAAAAAGAACAGCCGAGACATTTGGATTGGAACCTCGACTCATCCATGGACCGAGATAGGAAGAGAACAACATCACTGCAAACTATCGTCCCATAACATACCCTCTAAGGCCTTGTTGGGACCTTGCCACATGGATTCACCTGGGCAAATCCAACATCCACCCCAACCCATGAATCAACCCCTAAATCAACCCCAACCTACCCTAACGTCTCCCAAAACCCACCTATCACCTATTTCAAACAATTCCACTCCTGAACAAATCCAGAACATGGTAAGGCCGACCAATCCAACGTGACTTGTGGTTGAAAAGGATATCGCGTTCCCTCCCCCTTCTAAACATCACCCCGCCCAAAGTAAACCACTTGTTTGTGCGCGGAGTGGGAAATGAAGTGACTGCCGAGTCCCTCCATTCTGACCTCGACTCCTAGCGCCAAAACCTCATGGGCCCGGTCCGGCTTCAACCGCGGCGAGTCCGAGCCGAGCGGCGGCAGGAACCGCTTGCCCGGCTCAGCGGAAGCCACCGGCGCGACCGGAGCGTCCCTTTGAGCGACCGAAGTGCGGCACCTTGGGGCAAGGGGGCCGTCCAAAGGAACCGGTGGCTTTGTCGGGGCTCCTTCGAGGCTCCTTTCTCAGCGCAAGGTAACTAGTCCATCCTATGCAGGTTTGTGTGGCAAATGATGTTACGAACACCTGGAGACCGCCAAGCGCAGGCCCACACCCTAAAAAAATACGGTTGAAATAAGCCCAGGTGGTATCCCAAACAGCAACCACCGGAACCTCTCGGGAACCCCAGCGCGATGCGGCTCCGAACCACTTTATACACCCCTCGGAAACAACTGCTCCACGCCAAACCGAAACCCTACGAAATCCTTGGAATGGTTGCAACAAGCGCTCCACCACAAGCAACCCAACCCAACAGCTGCTTCATGGAACCCTCCGGAACCTTCTGCAGCAATCGCTCCATGTCCTTCCAGCAACCGCTTCATGGAATCCCCAGAACCTTTTAGAGCCGCCCCAAACCTGACTTACCTTTTGTTGAAAATGACATGTTCGGATTCTGGCAACCAAATGTGGTGAACCTGGAAATGTATGATAGCACAGGGAGGGAATAGTGCTGCGAAAATCCATCAAACAAGCCAACAAACTAAGTTCAGATGGTGGTTGTGCCAGGTGTCTCTGTGTGTGGGCGTGGCCACGGGCAGCTCACTGATGATTGTTTCCTTTGGATATCTGTTGTTAGTTGTGTGTTGTTTTCCTCTTCTTTTTGGCCGGGGGACGCCCGAGCTCATAGCCAGCGATTGTTGCAGGCAAAATGACAAACTGTGTGACAATCAACAAGCAGTCACGTATCAAACAAAGGGCCAGGGTCTCTGGCCCTAAAGGGGCTGTTCGCCAAGTTTGAAGCAAACCGCCGGTCCTTTGTTTAGATGCAGCTAAGAATTCAAAAAAGTCTTGCAAAAAAAAAAGAAGAAAGAAGGCCCCCCAGAAAGGACCTTCACGGCGTCCGTTTGCTTTACCCCGGGTGAGCTTGCGCAGACTTGGCCTGGTTGATCCCATTTATCGGGTCCGCCACCCAGGGAAGAAGAACGGAACTGCGTAGATTCATTCACCCTAATGTTGACTCCATATTCATCAACCCCAGTGTATTAACATGGGGGTTCCCCCCTCCAAAAGTGATGATTCCCCACAAAATCAGGGACGCCCCCTATTAATAAGCTGGGGTTGATTTTGCATGGGGTCTCGTTTCGCCACCTTTGGCCCCGCCAAGGCCAAGGGGCCAGGGATCCGCAGCAGCATCCGCGAAAATGCGGTGAATGTCCTTGAGGCTTCGAAGGGCACCGGCACCCAAGGGCTACCGCGGGCTAATCGGATTGTTAAATGACCTCGCAAGTTTGGGGACCATTATTTTAGCCATTGGGCGAGCCGGCTCAAATGGTTTAGACCAAAGACTGGGCTATGTTTAGCTCAGGATTGCGGTTCCCAGATTGACTGCATGTTGACCCCACCAACTTAGCAGTTCGGCTAGGTTTCAAGCAGGGGAATTTCTGGTAGTGCGGATTGTATCGTGTTTGAACAAGCAGGTTTGCCTGAGGGATGTTTGCCAACAGCTACGCAGAACGTGGCCATTCCACACTCTTCTCAATGCATCAACTAAGGCGCAACCATGGTTGGCATTCCCCCGGTTTCCTGCCGGAAATATGGCACAACAAAAACATCATTAAGTTGCAATGCAACTGCAATGTTTCACTCTTCGAAAGGGGAACATAAGGACCCCTTGCCCACCAACAAGCAGGTTCGATGTGCGTTTCGCAAACTACAAACGGGACATGGCACCACTGTTTGTAGGTCAGAAAAAAATCCCTTGCTTGGCCGGCTCCCACTTGCCAGAAACAGGTTTGCACAATACACAGATCTAAAAGCCAACCAACAACAGGGTATATAGGTGTGTGTGTGTGGGGCATGCAGTGCTCCGCTTGATCTCTAGGATGCATTGGGATGGCTTGTGAACCTCACACAGCAAAAAGTCCTTGTGCATCCTGTGCCAACGTGGCTTCTGTCTACAATTTCCACAAACCTCAAACCTGGCCCTACCGCCCGCTCCGAAGGAAACGCCCATATGGAACAGGGCTTGTCCCTTTGCACCCTTGTTTGGGAGGCTTGGAATATCTCCATCAGCACTGTTGATTTAAGGGGGGAGGTACCCAATTGTCTCCAAACCCATCAAACTACCAATTTAAGGCACGACGTGACCCAATCAGGAACCTGATGTTGGCCACTCAACTCAACCGCTTGAACAAGGCTGCCAGAAAGCCTGAAACACCTCGTGAACCGGGACCCTTTGAAAGGACCGATCTCGAATGAGCCAAGCGGCGGCATGCTCCGCGAAATGCTTTGCATTCATTGAGGCTATCTCCTCCTTGGGTGTGCCACGCGACTCAAACAGTTGGAGAGGGAGGTTTGGGCTGCACGCTGAGAAGCCCGGCATCCCGGAAGGGGGGGGGGCGTCTAGAAGCTGAGAATTCTAGTTGACATAAATGTCGTTTGGCCGTTTCGCTGTGACGTTTTTTCTGCATGTTGTCCCGCTACTACGCTTCTGCGTTGTGTTGCGCTTTGCTGTGCTTCGTTGCGGTTTGCAACGCTTCTGCGCTTTGTTGCGGGACAACGCAGAAACTTGCAAGTGGTATCCTGAAGTAAACGTTATCAAGCGTCCGATCAAGATTCCAAATACGAGATCCAGTTGTAGTTCGCGGCGTGCAAGTCCCTCAAACCCAAAACTTGTCAAGGTGCAATGGCAACAACGAAACAAGACACTAACCTATTTCAAAGCCAAACACCCACCGGGACCTTTTAAGGGAATCGCCCCGACCCGGGGAGCGCGCTTTTTCTTGAGCCAAATCATGCAAGGTCCGCAGTTCACGGAAGGAATGCCCTACTGTAGGGAACCCCTATGTCCTATCGATTCCCGTTGATGCAAGTAACCGCAAAGTTATCATGATGTAATGCCCACACGAAGTGTATTGCCATTCCTGTGGGTGTGCATTTATTTGAGAAAGAGTGCGGGTATTTCCACTCCCCCCTCTTTGCGCTTACGGCAATTCTGTGCTTAAGAATCTTCAAGACGTTTTCTTCTTCTTGGCTTTCTTCTTTCCCTTTGGATTGGCAGGTTCACTCCTCTGCTGGTATGGCGCCAGCAGGGTCTCTCACACTTCTTGAGTCACTTACTTTAGTTTGTACCTGCGGTGCCGAATCCATTTTGAATCCAGTCATATTGGCTTCTACTGATTTTGGCACTATTGTGGATATACCAAGGAGATGGATCGCGTTGGCCCACTTGTGCGCCTCAACACCTTTTGTAAAAATGTCGGCGCGTTGATCCTCGGTTTTCACGTGCTGGAGAGTCACGTCTGGCTGATCTACTATTTCTTTTAAAGATGAGAGGTTAACTGTATGTGTGCGAGTGATATGCCGCAAATTGTGGCTAAACCCTGCTCGTACAACCTTCTCAGTTGCCTCATTATCTTCATAGATGATCAAGTCAACATCTCTACCTAGCATGTGACCCCACAGTGTCATCATCGGCAATGCTTCGGTGAATAGCCCGTAGGCCATTGCGATCACTTCGGCTTCTGTTGTGCTTCGGCTAGTTGCAGTCTGCTTCTTAGAGATCCAGCTCAGTGGCCACGAAGCTCCATTGGACCCGGCTACCCTCAGCCAGCCCCCATTGGTGCTTAGTGCTGAGTCACTGTCCCCTGCAAAGTCAGCGTCTACGTACAGTTTCAGCCACACATTCGCTGGAACGTCGGTGATCTGCCCCACCAGAGTGAAGTCTACAGAGTGATGTGCATAGCACAGGAGTCGATGTAACATCCTGTCACAAGCTCTACACCACTTGCTTACGTGTGACGCTAAGAAGGTTATGGATTTAAGCATGTCTGGTATACCAAGCCTTGCCCCCCCAGAGCAATTTCATGAGAATTGCACACGCATGCGTTTGTAGCTGTCCCTCTTGCTCCCATTCGTCTGGAAGGATGGATCCCTTTGGCAGAAAAGGGGTTGCTGCACCTTTGAGTCGTTGCTGCTTAGTAATACCTAAGTACATGTCTACGGCAGAACGAATGTACTCTCGTATGTTGAAAGCTACCCCAAGTCCATCAGGAGTCTCAACGATCTCATGGTGTCTCCCCAAAAACCTACCAAGTCCACCTATGTCTTCTAATTCAATTAACTTACCTAGTTCTTGCCAGAACATTTCGTGCGATTCACCCCCAAGAGATCATCCACGTACACTGTCAAGGCCAGGTCTCGTTGCTCGAAGAAGAATGTTGAAGGGTGCCCCTCAACAGTTTTTCCTCGGAGACGCACCCAGGTCTCGCACAGGCTGCGGAGATCCGCCTGCACGTAGGCTTTTACCGCGTCGGCGGACGTCACGCGGTTGCCTGGAAATTGTCCGAACGCGATGATGGCGTTAGCCGTGGAAATCATCGACGGAGATGCAGAGAGGCTTTGATACACTGCCAGCGCCCCGTCCTGGTCTCTGGCATTATCACCTCTAAAAACTCCACGTCCTTTCAATTGAACCATGTCTGGACCCATTTCAAAGAACCGCCTAGAACATATGGACATCACATCGCCTATGAGTATTTTATCCCCTTGTGTACGGGCTTCCGCCAGGATCTCTGGCTCTTCCCGCACAGTGTCTAGGTCCCAGGTTCCTTTGTCGGTGAGTCCGTTGAACTCCTTCTGAACTGCTGCGATGGCCTTCGGATCTCTGATCCATTCTTTTCGGTCAAGCAGTTCTGTCACGAGGGCTGGCTGCGTCTCTCCCATCAGCACCTCAAGTGCAGTGAGTGCGTGCTGCTGTCGGATCGCTTGGCACGTATCCCGGCTCGCGTGGGTCGTCCGGCGGGACGCCCTTGCGCGGAGGGAACCCTCTCAGGTCTTTTCTTTCTGTGAGGTCTCTGTGTCCTACGATCACTGATGACGGCCCATGTGGCACAGGAGTGGTTGGTGAATGCATCGCAGGCGTTGGCGGCACGGGCAACGTTGTGGGCGTATTACCCCCTGGCCCTGCGTGGGCGGTTGAGGATGTTCTCGCGCCGGATGGCTGCGCCTCTTCCGTCCTGCTGGCCTCTTTGGGATAGAGTCCGTCGAATTTGCCCCTGCACGTCTGCGAGTGATTGTGTGTTCCAAGCGAACAACCAGAACATTCCTTCGTGAAACCATGTTTCAGAAGGCGACTGAACGTGATGTACGCATGCTTCGGTTTTGTCTTACTTGGTTCGGCATAGGACAATGCGTCAATTGTCACTTCGTACGGGAGTACGCCCTTTTCCAAAGATCGTTCAAAAGCGGCCTTCCTAAGCTCATGCATTGGGTCGGTCACATCTTTTAGTGCGATTTTGGCGGCGTTCTGCAGTGGGTATTCCATGTGCACAAGCGGAGGAAAATATACCTCTTTTTGATGTACATCGCGAGGAACCCAATACTTGTGTGACAATTGTCTGAAGGATTCATAGTCTAGAATCTGAACAGTGTCCTTATACCTTAGTCCTGGTGCTAGCTTCCAGCCGGCAAAGATGCCAGGCCTGGTGGTTGGTGCAGCCATGCCATCTGAGCTTCGATGGTAGTAGTAAACCAGGGCTATATCGTTCCAAGAAACGGATGTCCTGTTGCAACTTCCCATTTGGTCTTACCTTTTTTTTTTGTGGTCTTCTACTGGGGTGCCTTTTTCATGATCATACACGGGTGCTGGTTCCATAAAGGATCTCACCTTCGAGGTGTATGAAACTGACACAGGCCACAACTTTCTCCAGAAACCTGCCTGCAAGTGCGATGGCCTGGAGGCTTCTTTCAGAGACCGGATGTCCCTTTCACATGAGGCATTATGCGGCCATGAACGGGCGAGTGCGGGGTCAACGTTCCAGCACATCCGCTGTGCGGCATTTGTGAGCTCGCCAGCTGTGTCTGATTTGAAGATCGTGTCCGTCCTGCCGTTCAGTGCCGCACCTGCAAAATGTTTCATGGACAAATAGTTTGTTTCTTCGCTTTTGTCTGTCTGTGGGTATGCGATGGATAGCCCTGAGAAATGGTCTCTTAGCAGCAACGCTGTTTGTTCACCATCCATCCCCGCATGCTCTGCGGCTACTATCACATTATCCCCTTGAATGAGTTTCCCAAACGCATCGGGCTGAGTGTACTCTACCGGTTCATCGGGGTCCACAGGTCTTTTAGAATGTTTATCTTTACCTAGCATCCTACCCTTAAGGCAATGCTCACACTGATTGTTCTTCTTGGAGCGCAGTGCCTGATGCTCGAGGGTTGCGGCTTCCCGCTTCAACCTTCTCGCTACACTTTCGGGCACCATCTCATCACGTTCGGAATCTGCATCAGAGTCCGCTGCGGCGACGAGAGCCCTTGGGAGATGCTTGGTCGTGAATGGGTTTGGCTCCCGCTCACGATGTTCACATTGATGGGTCACTGCGGCGCATGGCATTGCTACCACCTGTCCATGCACTTTGCTCGGATACCATGCACTGCAAACCATTTCGCACATTTCTGGAGGATATCTCGCTGTCTTAGCTGTGCTGGCACCTGCTATGACGGCATGCTTGAAACCCTTCTCATGTTTGCATCGGCATTGTGCGAGTGATGCTGCTAGCCTCGGGCATGTGGTAACAACCCTCCATGCTTCCTACGGCACACCGCCGTCAAAATCGATGGTGTACATGCGCAACTCTATGATGAGCTTCTGCAATTCGGATAGTTGCCAACCCGCTGCGTCCATTGGCCACTCGCATGCAATACGGCCGCCCTTGCCATGGGCGGCGCGTGCCAACTTGCAGAAGTTTCTCAACAGCTTTCTGGACACGTCGTGCTGCCTGAAGCTTCTTGAGATACGGTTTCCCATAGAGGCTCTTGCACAAGTGCTGATATTGGGACCATGGTGCACATGGGATGCTTCCCCAAAGATCAATTGTGTTTTCTCCCTCTATTTCTGCAAGCATGGATTCCATGTTCTTATCGTCCAAACCATTATTATGATTCATTGTGCTACGTGTCACCCTGATGCCATAGGCTTCTGCTGTCTTACCCAACGGAGAATCACTAGTGGTGCAAAACTCCATCAGCCCGCTCTGTGTCACCTGAGTGCCGCTCCGCTGAGGCTCTCTCTCAAGGCACGCAACTCTTGGTCTAGCCTCTCAATGGTCTGGTCGATCTTGTCGATGAATTCCTGGGCGGCGGTGCTCCTAACAGATTGGCACTGTTTCATGGCATGTCTGATATGAGATTCCACTGCCTGTTTTCCACTTGTCACTTTTGTGTTTTCTTGGCATTCATTTTTCGGTGTTGGAACAAATGGCTCATCAAGTATCTTGAAAACTGTCTGTCCGGTCCATCGGGCACCTGTGGGCGCTC